GACTATGTTTTCAATGGACAACCGGCAACCATCGCAGGGCCCGCCTGGCTGCGTGATGAGAAGAATGAGAGTGATGTTTGCATACGCATGGAGAGAGAGGTTACCCAAAAAATGGAGAAAAAAAGATTTGGGAAACACGCGTGAGAGAGAAAAATGGAGAGAGAGTTGGGTAATAAAAGAAAAATGAAGAAAGGGATGGGTAATAAAAGATACGTCTTTTAAAATTTATTTAGGATAAAAAAATAAAAATTCAATTTGGATAAAGTTGGTTTAAAGTGTTATAAAAAATAACACATGGGATTTTCATGCATAAAGATATATTTTAAAACTTCGACTCTAGTGATAAATAAAATTAAAAAATGAAGAGTACGGAGATATTTTTTTCAAAAAAAAAACAAAAAAACCTTAGAATGGTAGTGGTTATTAACCTACCTCGTATTGGCATGGAAAAAGAACACCACCCCCATTAGATAAATACACTCCAATCATAAAAAAAAATCTTGTCTTGAGATAAATCCACTTTAGAAAAAAAAATCCATCCAGCATTTTAGAGAGAGAGATAGTATTATGCAATAAATTGGTTCATCTTTTTATTTTGATAAAAGAGTAAGCTTTCTTTCTTTACATAAGAGGGAAAGGTCAAAGAGCTTCGAAAGAGAAGTTAGAGAAAGTGAGAGAGAGAGAAAGGGAATATGGGTGACTCTAGTGGGAATGGAAAAGTTGATAGAGGGAAAAAATTGTGTAAAAGTTATAGAGAGAAAAGAACAAAAAGTAGGGATGGACTTTTTTGTCAAAAAGATAAAATGGTTTTCATAAGGTCAAGTCGATGGACAATGGAAAGCTTCAACTATTTATTTTTTTTTATTTTTTATTTTTTATTTTTATTTTAGCCGTTGTGCATAATCCTTGAGGTGCAATAAATGGAGGGTGAGGGTGAAAATGACTGCAATCCAACTTCAACAATTTTAGTTGTAACAGGAAAGAAATCGCACCGTTGGTTTTTTTAATACGACAAAAGAAGCAAATTAAAAAAACCACGTTTTTCAAGATGGAACAGCTCTCCATTAAAGGCTGAGAACCCAAAAGAATGTCGAACCATTGCTTCATCTATTTGAAGGTAGTCAAGAAAATTAGTGGAAAATATAGATTTTAAGTTTTGAAAATAATTTAGTAACGAATTTTTTAACCCTTAATTTTTAAAATTTTTAGTTTTTATAGATGTATTCAATTTATATTATTTTTAAAGTTTTAAATTTTATAATTAAATAAAAATATATATTTTAAGGAATGATGATGGGTATTACACAATATCACGGTGTAAAAGGGTATCTTTTACCTTTTGTTTTAAGAAATCTCATTTTACCCTTCTCATAATGCTCCCACTCTCTCTCTCTCTCTCTTTCTACAAAATCGGGTTTTACCTATTTTCTTTTGAAACCCAAAATCACTTTTTACAAGTACAGGACAATCAATGTCGGAACGTGACAGCTCTTCTTCCCATTTCTTTTTTTTTTTTCTCTAAAAACGAGAACCTTTTTTCATTTCTCTCTCTTAAAACATCTCCATTCACAAAACCCTTTTGAGACAATGACCCGCTTTCCTTTCTCTCTCTAAAAACACTCTCCCTTCACAAATCCCTTAGAGAGCCATGGAGGGCATCTCCCCTCCACAAAACCCTCCGTTCCTTTCTCTCTCTAAAACCATCGTCCCTTCACCACGTAGAAAAAGCAAATTGGGAAGCAAAATTAAGTAATGAGAACCCTCGACTGGCTATCCAAGTCTATCGTCATTTTTATCTTTGCATGATAGAGCCTAGGTTCTAAACAATCAAATTAGAGCCTACTTTCGTATAGTATTTAGAAATGAGGTTTCAACACTGATAATATTTGTGATAACCTTGAAATATATTTTCATTTTAATTTAGAAAGTTTCAAACTTCAAAAATAGTGTAAATCGCTAGTTCTATAAAAACTTGAAAATCTTGAAAATTTATAGTCTAAAAATCCATTATAATATACACTATTTTCAAAACTTGAAATCCATTTTTTCTCACATCCATTCTTGATGTCGAGATGATCAATTTGAGGATATTTGAGCATCAAAACCTCTACTTCTAATGATATTTATAAAGTAGGCTCAAATTTGATCGTTTAAAACCTCGACTCTATATAAACTTTTTCCATCTGTAAATAATATCATCATTCCCCTTTGATTAATCATTTTACTTTGATAATAGAAAAATAAAACCACAAAACCTACTCCCAAATACAAGTAGTTGAATCCATTGCAATTCTCTACCGGAATGAGACCCTATCAACCAGGTAAATTATATATTTGTAACCAATGGCCACTCCTCCCATAATTATCAAATGGGTAGCACCTCATCGGAAAGGAAAAGTACATAAAAAGTGTGGTCATGGAATCAATCACCTCATAAGTATGGTCATCGGAAAGGAAAACTTAAAGTTCTTTCACAATATGAGCGAGAGATCAAACATGAAAGACATAAACTTTCTTAATAAAGAGAGCTAGAAAGATAAGGTGTAGAAATTTTTTTTGGTAGAGACAATCTTTTTTTATAAGCTTTGAATAAGATTAAGGTTTTTTAGGATTTTCTTTGACTTGTCTTTTCTTGTGATATTAAACATATACCATCAATCAAGGGTGACTTGTGGGATGAGAGATCTGAGTCATCCATGACGGTGACTTGTGGGATGAGAGATCTGAGTCATCCATGGCAGTAACTTGTGGGATGAGAGATCTGAGTCATACATTCTATAGATGAGCCAGCAACAATATGAAAGATGCATGAACCATTATCTATTTTTTCTAAATCATTTCTTCATCAATAGAAATTAAATAAATTAAATCTAATCAAAATATTGTGCATACCATCAAAATATTGTGCATATCATACTCTGAACGTAGTGTTGCATGGTCATTAGCGCTAACCAACTAAGCCCATACGCAGCGCTTTGGGCAACAATAAACTTAATGTTATGCTTAATCGGATATTGGGAAGTTTTGTTTTGATCAAATTAGTCTTGGTTGGGGCAGTAACCGCAAACCAAAATCTTCACTGCAATAAATTTGGGGCTGTTTTATACTTTTATCGATGCGAAATTTGGGTTACTAGGAAATTGACAAATTTGAAACACATGTTGATTTTAATACCGTGAAAATCCAACCCATTGGCTATCTTCATTTTAAATCATTTTAAAATAGGCAATTATCAAGGGTGTGAGTTCTCTAGGGCTAGGGCCCCAAACAATCAAATCTAGACGCACCTTTAAATAGCGTCATAATATATTTTTATGTGTTGAAAATTTTTGTGGGGGCTTGAAACTTTATTTTCATATCTAATTAAAAAATTTAAAGCTTAAAAAATAGTGTAGATCGAGCAGATCTATAAACGCTTCAAAAGTTTTAAAAACTAACGGTCCAGATATACATTTCAAAAAAGTCTATTTTCAATACTTGAAATCCATTTTTGTTTATATCCGTACATTTTGAGGTTGAGATGATCGATTTGATGATTTTTGATGATCACAATAACCTTTTTTTCGTGGAATGAGATGATCGATTTGATGATTTTTGAGAAACACAATAATCTTTTTTAGTGGAATTTTGAAGTGTGCTTTAATTTATTTGTTTAGGGCCTCGTCTTTATATAATCTTTTTCCAATTATCAAACCTTTTTTTTTTTTTAGTACAGGAATTTAACTTGAGATGTAGCGCAGCTAAATTCCCTAAGTGCTAACCATTAAAGTCCAAGCCTGATGTCTACAGTCAAAATCATCATTGATTTAGAATTGTCAAACTTCTTCAAACTGAAGTAGTTAAATCAACTACTTTATCGACAGAGTATTAAAAAAGGAATCACTTTGAATGTGATGCCGACCTTATATAGGATGACGAGAATGAGTTCAATCAAAATTTAATGCATGGCCCAATATGAGACCCACTAATGCAGTATTAGCCCCCAGTTTCTATGAGCTGGATTTCCAAAGTCTCGAAAGCTTAAAGAGAGAGAGATTCTATTTGAGACAACCCACCATAAAACCCGTTTACTTTCTCTCTCTAAAAACACTCTCCCTTGGAGACCCATGGAAGGCATCTCCCTCTACAAAACCCCTTTTCCTTTCTCTCTCTAAAACCATCCTCCCTTCGCATAGAAAAGGCAAATTGGGAAGCAAAATTAAGTAATGAAAACCCTTGACTGGGCTATCCAAGGCTATCGTCATTTTTATCTTTGCATAATCGATGATTTACTAATTACATGCACAACAACACCGTATATCTATAAAGGGTGGGGTCTATATAGAGCCTAGGTTTTAGAGCCTACTTTCGGATAGTGTTTAGAAATGTGGTTTCACGCTGAAAATATTTGTGATAACCTTGAAATATATTTTCATCTTAATTTATAAAGTTTCAAACTTCAAATATAGTATAGATTGTTAGTTCTATGAAAACTTGAACATCTTGAAAATTTATGGTATAAAAATGCATTATAAAATACATTATTTTCAAAACTTGAAATTCATTTTTTCTCAAGTCCAATCTTGATGTCGAGATGATCAATTTCAAGATATTTAAGCATCAAAACCTCTTCTTCTAATGATATTTTTGAGGTAGGTTCAAATTTGATTGTTTAGAACCTCGACTCTATATAAACTTTTTCCATCTGTGAATAACATCATCATTCCCCTTTGATTACTCATTTTGCTTTGCTAATTGAAAAATAAAACCACAAAACCTCCACCCAAATACAAGCAGTTGAATCCATTGCAATTCTCCACCAGAATGAGACCCACATTTAGCCGATGGACCCGCCACAACGCAAAATATTCTCTAATTCCTCAAGGTTTTATTATATAATTGTAACCAATACAAAGTGGGCCACTCCTCCCATAATTTTCAAATGGGTAGCACGGGAAAGTACATAAAAAGTATGGTCATGGAAGCAATCACGTAAAAAGTAATAGTATGGTCATGGAATCAATAGCATAAAAAGCAATAGTATTATGTTTTCCCTAAAAAGTAATCAATTGCATAAAAAGTAATTTATAGGATGCTGATAACTCTATTGCATACTAATCCCGTTATATGTACAACACAGTTTATTGTTCCCTAATTTTAGTGCATCACAATTCAGAGGATGATGATGCAGAAGAGTCGAATCCCAAAAAAGAAAAAGCAGCAGGGGCCGTCAGATCCTTTATTTGGGGGAGCAAAATAGTCATATGGACTACGAAAGCAAAGAGGAGAAGATTGAGATTGATTCCAACCAAGATAATATGGAAGAGTTTGAGGGAGTGATCGAAAAGGATTGAAATTAGGATGAGGGTAACTGAGATAGAGAAACAGAGTGCGTAAAGGATGATGAGGGTAGCCCCTACATAGGAGAGGCTGGAGAGCTCAGTGTTGATGGTGAGGCCAAAGACTGCAGAGATGGTTGTTATGGCGATGGCGACTGCGGTGTTGTGGAACACATCGCCTATAGCATCCACCCACCTGAGAGAGACAGAAAGGGGGCAGGTAAGCTGGATTGGTTTAAAAAAGAAAAAATTCTCCAAAGACATATATCTGTGTAATCACCCGGGTATGGCAGGGTAGAGGAGCATCCATAGTTGGAGCAAGTAATCTGAAACAAACAAAGGAATAAGGCATTAGTAATGTATACCCTCTGTTTCTCTCTCTCTCTTCCTTCTCTCTCAAAGAGGAAGAGAATGTAGAATTATGAGTAAAAACAGGAGCACTTATAATTGGCTTCTTCCTTTTATTGAGATTTTACCAAGGATCTAACTCAGAGTAGTAGGATGGATGGATGGATGGATGGATGGGATTCATACGAGATAGGCCAAACGCTCTGAATCTATTCCTCAAAATTGTAACTACTACCAAAAGATTCCTTAAAATTGTAGAATAGCATTAATGCATAGAGATTTCTGAGCAATTACCATATGTCACCATTAAAATACTGGATCTGAGGGCCATCACGAAAGTATAGCTGAGCCCCTTGGGTATTTCTTCTCCTCTTGCACACAAACCGAAGATAATTTTTTCCGTGATGAATGAGGAGATGTTTCATTTATAATCGTGCATTTGCCCACTTTCCACTAAGCTTCCTAATTTTGTCTCATTCCTCAATTGCGGCTTCCCAATACTCTGATTTGGCAAAGCCAACCAGTCAACCTGTTGGCATTTAAGCCGCAGTCCCCACCCTTTGAGGGAATAGTTTATTTCTATTCCCTCAGTTAGAAGATTCACTTGGGAGAAGATTTTTTTTGGAACTACTTAAGAATATTATGCTCAAAATAAAAAATTGAAATTTGGGTTTTCATTTAACATTTAAAAATTGGATAGTCTCTATTCAATTTTGAGAGATTATTGTTTTTAGGTGAACAGAGGGTGCAATTAAAATTTTATTTTATTTATCTTAATATATAGGTTGAAGAGCTTATATCCTCATATTTTAGAGTCCTAGAGTGAGTTCTAGGTGGGTTTTACAGGAGGTAGTAAATAGAAAGCATACTCCCACGGGAGCATGATATCTCTTCGCCTCTCTTAACGCCGCTTGTATACGTCAGGGATTGTCCGCTAATTAGTTTTCAACATAAAAGTCATATTCATACTGATTTTCAAATCCCAGGTCATCCATACGTATCTTGTTTTTGGGAAAGTTTATATAAGGATGCAACCTTAAAATATAGAATCACATATGCATCTCAAAAAGCTGTAGGAGATGTTGTTTTAATGTTGAATAAGCTCTCTAATCGATCATCTCGCCATTGAGATGTATGAATATGAAAAAAAAAAAATTTTGTTTTTGAGTCTAAAAAATAGTGCATATTGTAACACATTATCTAAAAAGTCTATTTTCAAGCTTTTTATATATTTATATATCGACTTTATTTTATAAATATTTAATCTCTTTTCTCTTTTCTCCTTATTTTATAAAATACCAAACCCATCCATTAATCAACTCCCTTTCCCACTAATCTTTTCTCCTTATTTTATAAAATACCAAACCCATCCATTAATCAACTCCCTTTCCCACTAATGTTTCCTTTTTTTTCCTTTTACAATCTTTTGTTTTCTAAAATGCCAAACCCAGACATCAATCAACTACCTTCCTTTTTTATTCCATTGCCCAAAACCAATCCTACCTCCATGAGCCCCACTCAGGCATATCTATGTTTTTTATCTGGTGTTATCCAAACGGCAAACAACCCTATCTCAGGGACAGACCAAGTCTAAGAGAAGACGATCCCAATATAAGGCTATCCTCAGGACAGTCTAATCCAAGTACCCAAACGGACCCTAAAGGATTAGACATAAGAAGAAAGAAAGAGCAGGACAAACATGGTCCTCTCTTTTGAGCATGTATATAGTGCTCCCTCAGGAGCATAGTTTACTTATGTCCCCTCAGTTAGAAGAGTTACTCGGGAGGATTTTTCAATATGAAATTGTAGCAACTAATTAATATTCACTAGATCATTATTACTAAAATAAGAAATTTAAAGGTTGAATTTTCTAACACTTAGATTTCACCTTAAAAAAATTGGATGGTCCCTATTCAATCTCGAGACATTGAATACTCTAATATTTAGATCTCACTATCAAAAAATTGGATGGTTTCTATTCAACCTCGAGACATTATTTTTTTCAAAATAGAGGGTGTAAATAGAAATTATTTTTTGTTGCATTTAATATATGGGTTGAAGAGTTTACCTCCCAAAATTTTGGGGTCTTACAATGAGTTCTAGATAGGATTTTACCCAAGTGAGTAAATAGACAGTATACTCCTACGGTATACCGTACGGAGAAGTATACCTTTAATGGTTGTTTATGATTCTTTTTGTAAGAATGCCAAGTCATAAACAATAATAAATGGGAGCGAAAGATACTCTATACTAATAAGAGAAGTAGATAAGAAAACGAATCATTGTGGTAAAAAAGATTGACATAGCTCAAAAAGATTGATCTTCAATTCCACGAGAGAAATGGAAAACGAGAAGGGTGAGGTTTTTTATAAGGTGTACTATTGAAGTAAGGTACACTTCAAAACTATGTCGAAAAATGCAATTTCGGTGCTGCAAAGCATTGTGATGATATGAAAATCTATTGTTGCCTCCAATTATAAAATTTAAAAGTTCTAGAAATAGGGACAATCAATGGTCTATAAAGTTCTAGAAATTTGGGTGTTGCAAAGCATTTTGAATTTATAAAGGCTATGATCGTGAAATTCACAAAATGAAAGGTCTAGATTTGTTTTTAGAGAGGACTCATTTTGACCATATCTAAGGTTCAAATTGAACAATTTTTTTGGGGGGGATTGATTATTGAGATGAAGAGAGTTTGTGTGAAAAATTTGGGGTCAAACAAATAATACAAACCTGGTTTTTTAGAAGTGTCGTTGTATTATACTATGATACAACTGTTGCATTGGATCATTGCTCACTTAGTAGAGCGAGAGAATTTTAGTGAATTTATTAATGGAACAAACTTTACATTGGGAGAAGTGTTAATAGAAAGAGAGACACCAAAGTTGAGAGAGAAAGTTATAAAAAAGCAAAGGCTTTAAAGCATTTGAATAAGAAATTTGAGTGGATTGAAACTTGAGTGGATTTTCCATGGCGACAGCAGGGGCAAAAGACAGAGAGAGAGAGAGAGAGGGAGAGGGGTTATCACTGATATTCTAGTTAGTTTGGGGTTAGTGAATAAGAAATTGGATTATTGACCTTTTTATGGGTGGGTAGAAGCAAGCAAAGATCACAGATGAATACGTCATTGCCCGCTCTCCCCTCTCTCCATTGCCCAGCGCAAAACCCCTCCCCCTCTCTCTCTCTCACGCACATAAAAAAAAATTAAAAAAATTAATATTATTATTATTTATTTATTTATTTTAGAAATAGAAGGAGTTAGAGTAGTACGTGATTTGTTTTGATCAATTGGGTTGGTTAGTTTTAAAGAGATAAATATAAATAGGATAAAATTTATCAAGAGGGGATTTTATCTTCTCAATTGTAGGCAATGTTTTTGCCTTCTAAGGGAAGCTTTTGATTCGGTAAACGTGGGTTATCTTTTTGAAACAAATCTTTAACACGTGAAGTTAAGATAAAGAAGATACTGATAGAGAAAAAAAGTATAGAAGAAAGATAGTTAATTATTGTGGTTTCTTTTTAAATATTTAAAAAAGAAGAAATCCCTTAGTGTTAAGGTCAGATATTGGAATTGAGTAAGTTAACATCATGAAAAAAAAATTTGGGGTGAACTCCCTTATAGACAGCGAGGGTATACTTTCTCATCCTTATTATTATTATTATTTTATTTATTTCTTCCCTCCATCTCTTCTGCATCAATTGGTATCAAGATAACTAACATCTAGGTTTTTTGCAATGCCACCAAAAACTAATCCTGCTATACATGATCACAGCTAATCATGCTATACATGATTGCTTGGGACGAGCTTTAAAAAGTTTGACCAAAATCATGGATGATGTTCGTGAAAGTTTGACTAAGTCACGGAGGATGTTCGAACCAGAAGATGTTCAAACCGAAAGACGTCAAATAAATCAGTGGTTACAATGGTTGGAAAACAATATTGTCCCCAGGAGGTCGATATTGCACTAGTAGTCCCACAAAAAACCCAAGGTACTGATCATGATCGTAATAAAGAAATTTACAAGTAAAATCTGCATCCTACAAAGCGCCCACAAGATTTTGGTATTAAAGTCGATCTCTTGGAATTTCATGGTAAGCTCCACATAGAAGTGCTTATTGATTGGTTAAATGAAGTTAAAAATTATTTTGAATTGAGTGAATTGTTAGAGGAACGCGATGTTAAACCTGTTGCAACCAAACTCTGCCGGATGTTGCAGCATGGTGAGAGCAAGTTCAACAATCTCGATTTCGTAGTGGAAATAGATATATTACTAACTGGTAAAAGACGAAAAAGAAATTGAAAGAAAATTCTCCTTGTGGATCATCGGTCATGGACTTTAAATAAAGCTTTTCATATTGTTTTACAAGTAAAAGCTAAATACCAAAGGAACACCGTTAAACGATTTTACACCTAGAAAGAGGTTTTACGTCAACCAAAATTTAATAATAAAAAAAAAATACTGTGATGAAAAGAGCCAAGACACCGTGCATATAAATGCCCAAAAAAGATGATAGAGCTTCACTGGCCTAAGGAAGATGATGAAGTTGAAGAAGAAGATCAAGTTTCAATGGTGATAAAGGGGATCCACTTTGAATCAAGATCGAGTTTCTCCTAACCTTGAGAGAATAATGCAAAAAAAAATTAGAAAAAATCAAAATTTTAGTAATATTATTTTATTTATTTTTCTTAGGTGTACAAAGAGGATGGGAATAAGTTAAAAAGGAAGATGGTAAATTTTACGCTTGACTTGTTTTAGAGATTAGGGTGGTGCGTGGTTTGTTTTGATCAATTAGGTTATGTTGGTTAGTTTTTAAAGAGATAAATATAAATAGGATAAGATTTATTAAATGGTGTTTTATCTTCAAACAACGCTTTGTCTTTTAGGATAAGCTCTTGATTAGGTAAAACGTGAGTTATTTTTTTTAAGCAAATATGTAATTCGTGACGTAAGAGAGAGAAGATATGGATAGAAAAAAACCTAGTTCGTGGAGTAAGAGAGAAGATAGGGACAGAAAAAAAACCGTAGTTATTTTTTGTGAGTTTATTTTTAAGTATTTAAAAGAGAAGAAGTCCATTATTGTAAAGTTGATTGAAAAGATCTTCTTGTAGTGGATTTTCTACGGATATTGAGAAATTGTATATTTTCCCACCTTTCATTATTATTTTTATTGGTATATTTTCTCATCTTTTATTATTATTTTTATTTTAATTATTTCTTCCCTCCATCTTCCCTCTACTCTTGCCTCTCTGTCCAGCGCTCTGTTCTTGCCCCTCTCTCTCTCTCGTTGCCATCTCGCCCCTCTCTCGGAACCCAGTGCCCACTCCGAGCTCCATTATGCAACAAGCAAGTCGCCGTTCTCTCCAAGCATGCAGCAAGCAAGCCCAGCCCCTACTCTCCCATTTCACAAGAAGCAAGCCCAGACCCCTGCTATCTAATTTCGTAGCAAGCAAACCCAGCCCCCTGCCCTCTCCCATTAGCTCTGTGGTCAGAAGTGCGTGTTCATTTAAAAAACACGAGAAAACTGCAATAGGGCTTTATATAAATGCACCAACTAGAAGGTATGTGCTCTTCATTCATCTAATATAATGTGGAAGCACATTAATGTTCAATTGTAAGCAAAAACCTAAAACCCTTGTATCATTTTGCCGCTAGAATAATATAGGATGCGACTATCTAGTGTGATGTGATGAGATCCTAGGCCAAGACAGGAAACTCGTGATCAAAAGGCTCACATCACAAATAGCATGGGCTTGGGTCACAAATGGAGCAGATGCAACTGATACTTGTTGCCATGGTCCTTGAGAAATGAGTCATTGTAAAACGTGTTGCCATGGTCCTTGAGAAAGGAGTCAATGTAAATAAAATTTATTATCATAAGTACAGCTGAATTTGTACAGTTAATGCTTGCCCTTCATTTTCTTGTGAAAGGAAGGGATATATACTTCGTAACAAGGTTTGAAGGGATATATACTTCATAACAAGGTTTGAAAATTCAACGATCAGGTTAAAAAATAGTTGACGCTATTCTGGATCTCTCACTATATCGAAAATCGTTGACATTATTCTGGATCTCTCAATATATCAAGAACGAGTTGTATCCCCTCTGGTTTTGTCAAAAACTGATTTTGAAAAAACAGAAATTTGGATAAAAAATCATCGACATTATTTTGGATCTCTCAATACATCGAGAACACTACATCAAGAACAAGTTGTGTGCCCCTCTGGTTTTGCATGGCCCCCCAACATACTCCTTACCTTTGAAAGAGCTATCCCGTGCCGAATGCACGTGTGAGGGCTAAAGCTTTTATACACGCTTTTTAACATGGCAAATCCCTGATGTTGGACAATTTGGTGGCAACAGCACTCTCACGCTCTCTGTATACGTCTTTCAAACCAAGTAGGAAATTACCAAAGCTTAATACCGAAAAGACCATTGTGAGAACAATTATCTCTATATCATACCATAGCTTAGTTGGCTCTCTCTCCCTCTAGCTCTCCTAGTTTCTTCTTTTAATTTTTTTTCATATAACTTCCTTCAAAAATCAAAACTCCAAGTTAATACAAAAATAAAAATTTAAAATGAATTAGAAGGATTTATTTTATTGTCATGTTGCATTTTATACTTTATTTTGACTAAAATAAATTTAAACTACAAGAAATACCCAACATGAGACCGGTTCTCAATATTTACATTGTTTGACAAAATAATTAAAAACCATAATGCATTTGCCGCTATTTCTTTTTGAAACTTAAAACGTTATATTTTTTAAAAACTATAGTATTTTTTTAAATTGTTTTAGGCAGAAAATGCTCAATCTAGTCGATTCTCCGATTCAAATCGTCAATCCAACACGGTTTTTGTGGTGCCCGACTTGGGTCGCTGATCCCTTACATCTCTACCGTTGTAGTTTAGTTTTTGGTATCCCTCTTTCTTGTTTCGCGATGTAATGCAATATAGTCAGCACATTCAGAAATATTAACCTATGTTAGTCTCTTTGTACAGTATCGCAATTGGGTATAGTAAGGCATTTTAGTTTTCGTCCCTCAAATGAAGCTTGTCAAAAAATTTCATGAAATTTGATCAGAATAATGATACAGTTCAACCATCCGCTATTGATGTCAAACAGTTGGATAGGGTCTAGAGGTCTGTAAGAAAACCATTTGCGGCCACTTTATACCATTCTTTTTTCTTTTTTTTTAGGTAAATCAGTGAGGGAGAAAACCCTCTACTCATTTTTCATTAATAAAAAAAATTACATTATACTATCTTACAACCTTACAATAAGGTAGTTGCGCCACATCATGTATACACTTCGTTTGATCATAAGAGTTCTCCACTCTACATGTTTTGGAATCGATTATCTAGCATTAATAGGAATGAAAGTTTGTGGGACATTCTCCACTTAAATTCCCACGCAAACATGGGATACTAGGAGCAATGGAGTGCATAGTTAAATGATCAGTGAACTGTTGATTTTCTCTTATTTGTATAATTGTAGGAAAAAGTTTACATAAGGTTGCAACCTTAAAATGTAGAATTAAAAATGGTCAAAAACCCTCTAATTGATCATCTCCATATCAAGATGTATGAAAATGAAAAAAACAAAAAAAAAAGATGAGTCCCCAAATTAATCCATTTTCAAGATTTTCATATATTTATAGATCTACTTGCTTTTAACTATTTTTTAGCATAAAATTTTATAATTAGATATGGAAATAGTTTTTGAGATAATCCTAATAATTTTTACAACAAAATTACATGTCATGATAAAATTTGGAGGTGCGGCTAATTGGATAGTTTAAGGTTGCAACCATATTTGAAATAGGTTGATGTCCTAATGGTTCTAGAGAGGAGTAGCCAAGGTAGAAATGCCAAATTGGCTTTTCACATTTCTATAAATCAAATTACGAATAGCAATGTCGATTTTGCCTTACATCATAATGTCACTGACTTCTAAAAATCTACCCATTCTAGACATGTATTACCATGAATTCAGAAAAAAATTAAAACCTATGCCGCAGGTGTAAAATGGCACCTCTCTCTCTCTCTCTAGCAACTGTGCCAAAATGTTTCAATAGATACAGTTCTTGTGTCTGACAACAGCTGTATCACAAAAACACCAATTTCTTTATTCCATTATTTATATGATCCTACAATCAAACGCATGGCCACGAAATTCCATCAGTTTCTGGTTCTACGTTTTACCACAAGGTTTCAACACTAGATTTCCATCAATATCATGGTGTGTCTTCAATCAATAGCATCGCAAATATTACTAACTTGCCCATGAAAGACACCATGAACAACAAATTAAGAAAGAAAAGTGGCTACTGTCATAGAAATAGTAATATGTAATCAATGAAATGCTCACCTGTTTTCAACAGCCACACGACCACATCGCAAACCTGCAATCTTCTCTTTCAAGTACATCACAGATTTTTTTTTTTTTTTTTTAACGCAAAGTACATCACAGAATTTAGTTAAAAAGAAACATAAAGTGCAGATCAATCATCATAAAACCTCAAGAACAGCGCGTTGAGTCTATCAAAAAATATAGTAAGTACAAAATGAACCATTTTCATATTGGATTGAGATCATATCATGCTCTTCATCCATCCAAGTATCTGTTGGATATCACAAAAGCATAGGCAGAGCTCGACCCACCATTGTTGCTCCCAACCTAATTCACGAAAGCAAACTGCATTTTAATGCTCATGATCATGCTCTCTAAATTCTGAAATCAATAACAAACAAGTTGGCACTAACAATTCAACAAGAAATAACAAACAAGCAAGCAAGCAGTCACTATATTCAACAAAAGGCAATAACATGCAGGCAAACACCATTCAGCCAACCAGTCAATCACTATTCAACAAGCAGGCAATCACTAGAATTCATAGTGATCCTTACCATCAATGGTCATGCTCCACGATCTTATCAGACCGAGACATATAGCAGATTTTGTCACTATCCCTGAATACAGAAGACAAATTGCACTGTTAGCATTTCATATTGCATTTCAAAGTACTACGATTATATGGAAGCTCCAATTATATGGAAGCTCTATTACATCAAGAATTACGAAGCTCGTACGATCAAAATTCAAAAGAATCTAATGTTATGCATTACTTTGCATGAACAAACAATAGATGGTTTCTTTTGTCATGCCCATCGCCCTTGCAAACTGCGCACTTCTTGGTATTTTCTTTCGGCTTCTTAATACTTTCCTTCAACTTCCAACCTTCTGATTGAGCTTTCTTTCTTTTATTGGTAGCTCGCCCTTCTGTCCATGCTCGTGGAGGCTCAAGGATATTTTGGCAATGGTAACTTTCAGTTGGTGTGTTACTACAACTACCTGCATTTTCATCAACAATTGCATTTTCTTTGACATTACAATTGATCATGGTGTCATCCTGTGCACCTCTCTTACGCGCGAATTTACTATCAACCTGAGAAACTGTATTGTGTATCATGGACATTACAAATTCGTAGGGCTTCACACTCTCTGAAGCGCGCTCGGCAAGGTATCGAGTTGCATGACATAACTCATTATATCGAATGAAGCGTGGTAGTGGAATTTGTTTGCCATTGTCATCAAAGAAAACCCCTTTCTTCATATCCTTTGTCCAACGCCTCATTATGTATTGTGGAGGGATTTCAAATACATTTTTCACCATAAGAACCCCAAGCATATGCCTACAAAAAAGGCCAATCCTCTCATATAAGTGACAACTGCAATAAACACTCTTGTCACTGGAATCGAATTCCACAATGTAGGGTCTAGATCTAGTTCTTGGCAATGCAACCTTAAAGGTGGCAACCAATCCATTGTCCTCAATTGACTCACTCATAAAATTCATACAATTTGCCACCTCTTCCCCAAATAGCTTCAAAATATTTTGAGTATAGGACTTTGATGCTTGTGTCTCAATGAAAGAAGTTGTTCTTAAGATTGGGGTAGTTGTAATGTTTTTCAAGTCATGTTCCTTCTCTTTTTCGCACCTTTTTATCTTGCACTTGTGTAGAAACTTCTAATAATGTATGTAAACTTGTTGAGAAAGCTAGGTCCACCTTGAAGAGCTTATTCATGCACTCACTTCTTTGAGTGGAAGTCATGCACGCTGTGAACGTCTTGCTCAAATACACATCAACTCATTGCCAGCGACAGTAATTCGTTGCTTTCCAACTGATACTTCTCAATCATAGATTTCCATCCCAATTCAAATTCTTCGTTTGTTGCGCTAGCCACACACCTCTTAAAGGTTTTTGAAAACGTTGGATGCCTATGCAATACATGGCACAGTTTTTCCTTAATCTTCGCAAGTATATGCTACTTATCATAATGATGCTTACTTTGGTCTAAAACTCGTCTCACTGCTTTAGAAATCACATGGTCTTGATCAGTGAAAACAACACTAGGTTGGCGTCCACCCATTGCTTCTAACCAATTTTAAAATACGCATACAAATGATTCTACCTTCTTGTCAAAAATGAGTGCAAATCCAAAGAAGGTTGTATTGAAATGATGATTTATACCAAGTATGGGTATAAATAGCATACCAAAGGGGTTTGTTTTGTTTATTAAAAAAAAAACAATTTCTTTTCTAATTTTTGGAAAAATATGTGAACAATTTCTTTTCTAATCTTTTCTAATTTCTCGAAAAATAATAATAATAATAATAATAATTTATTATTATTGTTATTATTGGTGTTTCTAAAGAAAAGAAAGTATAGAGTTTCCCAAGAAAATGACACAAATTAAGACTCATGTGTTTTGGGGAACATAGTGCAATTTGCACAGTGCTGTGGTGTACAACCCTAAGAAAAAATCAGAATTGACACAAATTAAGACTTAAATTTGTAATAAAATTACAATACAAATAAATCCAACTCCTCAATAATCACTTCAAGTCCAAAGTAGGTCCATTTAAGCTAATAAGAATCCAAAGTCCTTAGAATAAAGAACAAGGCTTGATTCAGTGTTTCAACACATAATCATAAAGCTATAAAATTTTTGTTTATATGAGATAGAAATATCCCCTAAAAATAATTTATATCCACTGGAAAATAGGAGCAAACCCCATATTCCTAATCTAGAATTCCCAAAAAAACCGCAAATACGAATCACATTCAAGAGAATCAACATATTCCCGAAAATGAGAATCAATGTATTCGTGAAAAGATTTTGGGTTAAAGGATGCACTAATCTAAAGAACAGACAACTTGGATAATCAAAACCCAAATGTGAGGCTTTCCCTTTGAACACAAACATGCAACAACAAAGAAATGCCCATAAACCTAGAATCAAACACCCCATAAAACAACCAAACAAAGACAATTCCTCTAAGAACAAAAATGATTTCGATCCACACAGAAACACGTAAGCACATAAAATTACAGCATTAAAAAAAAAAACACCGCATGGAAAATAGGCAGGACAGAGAGAATAGGCAGAATAAAGAGAGTGAAAATGGAGAGGGAAGAAGGGGGGAAAGAGAGAGAAAGAGAGAGAGAGAGAGAGAGAGAGAGAGAGAGAGGAGGGAGGGAGGTAGTGTGTCGTCGTGTACGAGTACGACGACGAGGAGTAGGTAGGAAGTAAGTAGGTAACGGTAAAGACGACGTAAGTAGGAGAGAG